ACCTTTTCGATTAAAAATCGTTCTAGTTCGTTGTTGATATTTTGGTTTATTAATTTTCTACTTTGGATGTTATGCTAACTGAATACATCTTTTCTATTTGATTAAAATTTCGACTATTATTCGCCTAGCCCATTATTTTAGGTACATTATTACAGCAACTACCTGGGACTTATTTTTTCGGGATTTATTTATTTATTCAGGATTGATCAATTATGATGATATTTTAGCACACCCACACTTTGTCTGTATTGAGAAACCGTGTGGAATTTATCCAAAAATGCTTACGGACTTATTCAAATGTTCCAATAAATCCCGAAAAATTAAGACCCGGTAGCTGCTGTAACTGAGATTCGAAATGTTGTTGTCGTTGTGTTTCCTAGTCTTCATGTATTACTTTTCATCCTTTCTTTTTTTTGTTATGATATTTCTTTGTTTCACATAATGAATTAGTTCACTATAAAAAGAGATGACGAAGCTATTTTTACCTATTGTAGAACTATATGAGTTTGAATATGTATACCATATAAGATCTTACGATATTAGATGAATATCATTATAATTAATCCTTTTATACAAATATTTTTCTTTCTTACTTTAAATTGTTTTCTGAAAGATCATTAATAGTAGTAGTAGGCATGTCAGTTAAAACTAATCCTTTACTCTACACTTTTCTCTCGCAACTTTTCTGCTATCTATGAGAAATTAAATCCTATTTTTTAATTATTTCTTTTATTTAATATATTTATGATTCAGAAATTTAATTATGTCTTCATTATTATTATATATTATGAGAAACTTTCTGCATACATTTAGATATTCAAAATTCTTCTTTTAAAACAACATATCTACAAATTATATGAATGAAAAATACTTGTTCTATCATTTCACCACTAAGGTATGTCCTAAATGCAAAAAAAACAGTATTAATAGAATAAGAAGCCTATCATTTTCAAATATGACTGATATTATCAATGAAGTGTTTTCAAGCGAGTATTTATATACAAGCTTCTTATTTTTTTTTCTCTCTCAATTAATAAACGGTCGTCATATATGTTTATTATTTTCTTATGCTCTTCGTTCATCCATAATGGACACATTATTTTCTAATTTATTCTATCTTCAGTGTCATTGATACTTGTTTGATGTGTCCGATACAATTATTTTGTGATTTTCCTAAATAATTTGATAAATACTAATATTGGGTGTGAAACGCATGCCTACGTTTTATTCATCGATTCATTTTAAGTTAATTTGATGTTTACTTAAGTTTTATTTGATTGATTTTGTTCTATTGACAGCTGCGAGTTTTCTATGTTTTTCTAAAGAATTTTGTTACTTGCTTGAGATTTTGAAATGAAAAAGGAAAAAACTCAATGAGAGAGATCATGATAATAAGAAACTAGATAAGAAAATTTCTGAAAACTGATTCTACATGTAAGAAGTTTTCAAAAGCTTTCTATCTTTTCTCATGTATTTGTGGTAGTAGCTGCAATATTCAGCAACTATTTACAGAAATAGCGCGATCATAGCCCGTCTATTACAGTATGAGTGACAGTTCAGTCGATCAGCGCACATCGCTACACTTATGTGAGCTATTTACAAATTAAATATTTCACTAATACTTGTTTGTTAAAATCTCATACGTTGATCATTATCTATATCTTTTGCTAAAGAGTTTTCTATCGTATTATGATACGATTACGATTATTGATGTTTATTTTACGGACTGTATCAAATATTTGTTGATATAAACCTTCTTTGGTTGCTCTGGCTGTATCAAGAATTGGTCGTCGTACAGAAGAACAATTAGATTGAATGCTGCTTCTTTAAATTGACAGACATCTCATTTTTGTCCTTTCCTATTAACTCGTTGGCTTGCATTCATGCAATAGCAATGTAATTATTTTTGATTCATCCTTTCTAAATGTTTTTTTACAGCAAATTTTATCATTAACAACTGCTTCAAATGCTAAAATGCATCGTAAATGTTACAAAAAACAAATGCAACTCTATACACTACAATATCAGAATACCCGTGCGAAATTTCTCACACTATAACTAAAATCTTCAGTGCAACTAAGATGCAAGCTATATATGCCAACATGTATGAAACAGAAATAAATGCTCACTGGATATGTATAGGTTGATTGTTGCGTTATGACATTGGTCAAACAGTGCATCGCAACAATTTATTGTATTATTAATATATTTGATTGCTCGAAATATTGAGACAAGTTAAAGGGAGTGTTTTTTATGAAATATTTCTATTAAAAACCAAAAAATTATAAAGTTTAATTACTCGTACAAGTTTTGCTGAGTACATTGTGCTTCTGTAAGAAGTATTTAACAATATTTTTGATTACACTTCTTTAGTAAGAAGAGAACAAGCTATACATGAAAAAGAAAAAAAAAACTTAGATTCTTTTGTTAACATTGTTTCTTCCATAGAATTTTACGGTCACCAATTCCTTTCATAAGCCAAGAATATATGCTATGATTTTACTTTGTAATAATAATAATACTACGACTTTAGCAAAATAAAAAACCTCATTTCATATTATCTCTGTGATCTTTTCATCATTGCAAAATAAAATACTCTTCTTTTTTCTTATAAGTACTCATCTTAGCTTTATGCCATTATCCAAAAGCAATATTCACTTCTTTTATATCGATACTCATGCCTATTAATATTCATCACTATCACAATGAATAATTCAAGCCTCATATATAGCCGAATCCATGAACACCATGCTTTTATTAATTTGCAGTTAGTTTGACACATGTAAGACGCACTTTTCTTCAATCGTAATCTATCGACTAAAAGAACATTTATTAACTTTAGTGGTGTAAACTGATCTTAGACCGAACAAAAACAGGCATCACAGATTTTCAAGTCTATTTATTTTTAAGAAATTTCAATTCGATATGAGTCAATTACTTGAGAAAGTACTTCAAATGAATGTTTATCTTCAACCTGTACATTTTTCTATTTCAATTATCTCAAATACACTTAACATATGGATATTAAGTTCTCGTGCTCTTCGCCCATTACCATGTACACACTACTTTCTCGCATATGCTGTCTTATGTATCACGTATACCTTTTTTATATGTCCAATACAATTTGCACGTGGTTTTTCTATCGATTGGGCAAATACTCCAATTGGATGTAAAATGCATACGTATTTTATATTCTTAACGCCATTTTTAGCAAGATTAACACTTGTATTAGCTTCATTTGATCGTTATCGTTCAAGTTCCCATCCACATCGACTTCATTTAACAAATACGATACAAAAAGCAAGGATAACTATTGTTATTGGTACAATAGTGTGTATAATCTATATGTCACCAATGTTGGTTATGTACTACTCAAAACAACCCATCGGTACATGTCTGCAAAACTCAAATCTACTTATCAGTATTTATGTTTTCAGTCAAATTCTTCTTTATTATATATCAGCACCTCTATTAATGATCATATTCGGTCTGTTGACTATATCTAATACTCAACAGCACATCGCTCGTATAGGACCTCCATTACATGTTGCACATGGTCGTCGAACCGAAAGACAATTAACTCGAATGTTGCTTGTTCAAGTAATTGTTCATCTCGTTCTAACTGTCCCATTCGGTATTATTTACAGTATGAATGCGTTTGATCCATCAACAAGAACACCGAATAATAGAGCCGTGCGTCAAATATTACTCATATGGCAACAATGTGATAATTTCGTTCCATTTTTTCTTTATGTTCTTTCTGGAAGCGCTTATCGAAAACAACTTGTTTCTATATTAAAATTTATCAAACGTACAAATTAACCAATAATCTGATTGACAGATCAAAAAATAGGAACCATATATGAACTTCCTGTTTTTGCGAACTTTTATTACTAATGACTAGAAAATAGTAATTTACCACTTTGAATTTATGGTACAAAATGGAACTCTAGAAACATGATTACGATAAAATCTTCAATGGTCAACTCCTTGAATTCATTTGGCATATACAATGAAATCAATATACTTCAATCCACTATGACAGAAACATATTGTCCTAACAATCTTGAATTATGGAACATACTGAACTGTTGAACATTATTCGACTTAATAGTGTATAGCTGCGAATAGATATTGATGGGATGAAGCCAATCTTAAAACAATTTGGGTTCATGATCTAGTGATAAAAAATGATCACTGTTAAAGCAAAATTCTTTTTTGAGAACAAGAAATTTCCGAAAAATCAAGCATAAAGATTTCACCCTGGGATTTTGCTGTGAGCACCTTTCATAGTCATTAGATAGTTCTAAAAGTTTCAACAAAACAAGCTGCTCCTTCTTGAGATACTCGATTTTCAATTCGAGTCCATTATTATGTCCTGCTATCATAAACTATTGCTGTTTTGGATATTGAATAGATCGAGAAAGACATATTTGTTTTTGTTGAAAACTTTCAGAACTATCTAGTGACTATGGAAGTTGCCTACAGACAAAATTTCAGATCGAAACTGTTCGTTTTGAATTTTTCGGAAACGCTTTACTCTCAATAAGGATTTCATTTAACTAGTCATAACTTCTTGTCAGTAGATAATGGATCCAAATTCTTTTAAGCTTGGCCTCGTCTCACCGATATCTGCTCGTAGTCATTATATGAAGTCGAACGACTTCCGACATTTGGGTGTACTCTCTCATTAGCTCTAAATTGTATAAAATCATTTTTTCATTTCTATTGTCACCAATAATTATTTTATCTATCGAACGAAGAAATCATAAACTTAGATTTTGAGTTGCAATTACTCTGGAATCTATTTAAATATAATATTGATTTCTGAGAAAGATTTGTGACATTATTTTACTTTTTACTCTTATCTGTCATTATCAGTATACTTTTTAAATTTTCATGAGAAGAAATTCATAAATGTGGTATGCTGACAGCTAACCGATACAATAGTAACCCAACTAAATGGTCACCTATCTTCTGAGCAGCCTTCTACAACAGTCTACTTATTGCTGTGGCCTAACTGAGCACCTACTGGTAGTGCATCGTTAATAGTGTCAATAAACGTGAAACAGGAATTGCCAGTTGTTCAAATAACATCTTCGTTACTTCTCCTTGTTTGTCAAATTTCTATGAAATACATACATTTCAATAATAATCATTATGACAATAACATGGAGTTTGATGAAAATGTATGAATACAAAATGTTAGCACTTTGATATACAACTGACTTTCACAGCTGTTTTGAAAAAAAAGGACTTCCACAGTTTGTGTTGTAACTATTTCTTTCTATATTTATCTACTTAAATTGATTCATCTTTTAAATAAGAGAATGCAAAACATACTATATCATACAAATATTTTAATTTTTATTGATTTATTTTTTGAAGGAATAAAAGAATCTTACTTTTTTCATAGAAAACGTGAAACTTATGATATCAATAATATCAATAAGTTTTAACCTTTTCGATTAAAAATCGTTCTAGTTCGTTGTTGATATTTTGGTTTATTAATTTTCTACTTTGGATGTTATGCTAACTGAATACATCTTTTCTATTTGATTAAAATTTCGACTATTATT